AAAGATGATTACATTTTCATCAATATAGTATGATGGAAATGAGAGGGTGTTATTCTTTCCTTCAATACTCCAATCGTCATCTCTGCAGAGATGAATACAGAAAAATTAGTCTATGTTGAAACTAAGGCACAATAAAAATAAAAATAAAAAAATAAAAAATAAATAAGTGGCTTAATTGCAATTTCTTGGACAGAATCTTGAATGTCAATTTCATAAGAAGACTACATAATAGTATGGGCAGTAAAAACCACAAAATAATGAGTCTAAGCCATGTATAAATGTGAACAATGAACCCTCACCAATATACAATTTCCATTTGCCAAGAAAAAGAAACCTATTGAAAGCAGCCAGTTGTAGAAATCAAAATAACAATTGTTCTTTGCAACTAGTTGTATATAAATACCATTATATTATCCCATACCTAACAGAACTACTACTATAACCAGGATAAGAAAAACAAAGAATCGTGTATTTGCATCACTCACTGGAACACATGTGATCAATTGAAATTCATTCTGGCAAAGTGGGCAGAGGTTTGTAATGGTAGCCCAATTGTCAATGCATGCAAAACAGAACCTGAAAAATCACAATGTTAACCCTTGCCATAATACAAATTTCATCTGTCAAATATATATAACATATGGAAAGCAACCCATTTTTTCATTTTAGCCCCACACAACAAGGGTGTTAACCAAAGGATAACTTCACCTCACATGAACCTCTAAATATATTGATACACCTTGTAGGTTTCATCATACATGACTACTGGAAAACTTATGAGCACGTTTGAACACTTTCCTTCCTCCATTTTTTTTCCTTTAATTAAGTAATAGAAAGGGAGAGGAAAGGGTTCAAGGTAGCAACAGAATACTTTTATAATAAAAATGAAAACTTGTTCAAATGATTCTCTCTCTATCTCTCTCTATCTCACCCACATACACACACAAAGAAAGACACTTAAGCGCATACCAGTGCTGGCAGCAATCCAGAACACCCCTATCGATAACAGCATCCATGCATATCCCACATGTTTCGCCCTCGAAATTAGGATTATCCTGCACATTAAATAGATACCAAAAATTTGATCCCAAAATGATAGCAAACCAAGTAACCAAACTTAAACTTGCATATCCACAAGTAACACAATAATAAGCAAGTCAAAGTTCACACATTTATTTAGAGCTTCAAATGTCTGACTTATTAGATGAAAATGGTTCAACCATTCACCACACCTCTTCAAAAAGAGAAACGCATTTTCCATATAATCATTCATTCAACAAATTCAAGCTACATAATAAAAAATAAGCTTCAATGACATAGAGACTACGTGCTACAGCTTAATGAAAATGATCTTGAAGCTTACATTGCTATAAGTATCAGTAACTCCAAAAGCACCTCCCTCTTGTACGCTGCTTGTAACTAAATCCACTTCCATTGCGTCTCCAAAGAACATGCTCCTCAAATTAAAACCTAGTAAAACAATAATTATTATGCAAAATGAGAAATTTAAATTTTTTTTATATAAAAAAATCTGATCTTGTTGAATTCGAAATCAACCGTCTGGCGATTTAAATAACTAGAATCGCAAAGGTCAAAACGGGTAACAAGGAAACCAGAACAACGAGGGGGAGAGATTACCTGGAAAAGAGAGAGACCACCATTTCTGTGTATATCTGGAAGAGAGCGTTGCGAATGATCAACACCAGCGAGTGAACTCGGAAACTTTGGAAGCGCTGTTAGACCCAACGTGCGGAGAAGGCCCAAAATAATTGTCGTCTGTAAGCTCAGTCGCCTCCCATTATTTTATTTTCAGGCCCATGGCCCAAGATAATTCCATATGCATTGCACGGCCACCAAGGCCCAACTATCTTGATTATTTTTTTCCTTCTACGTGATCTATAGGTTCTCCTCCTATTACCAGAAATACACATTGTGTGGTTATTTCTCACATCCGTCCTATTATGTGACTTACCTTAACGAAGTTGAGGTTTCACCCCAAAATCAATTGGCAATGGGGGATAATAACCCAACTCCTTATAACCTCTTGCTAGATTTCTCAACTTTCCATTGTGGGACTTTTTTCCTTCACATTATTGGGTGATGTGGGAGTACATGTGGTCGTTGGGCCCAACATGTGAAGCCTTGCTTTGATACCATAAAGGAAGTTGAGGTCCCATTCCAAAACCAATTGACAATGGGGGAGAAGCCCAACTCCTTATAAGCTCTTACAAGGTTTCTCAACTTTTCAATGTGGGATTTTTTACTAGGGGTGGGCATTGAGACCAAAAAATCAGAACATTGAGCAGCACAGAATGGAAAAAACTATAAATAAAAAAAAATCATGTTTACTAAAAGTCAACAAACTGGCACCGAATCGAATCGGACTATTCAAACCGATTTCGATGTCGATTTCACACCTTACAAAATTAGACCGGACTGGACCGACTATGTATTTTTTATTTTATTTTAAAATTATTTAAGTCCAATACTAAATTTCTAATCCCGTAACTAATATTTCCCCAAGTCCAACTTCAAAGCACCTTTATTTTCTAGGCCCAATCATCTCTCTTTGCATGAAATTGAGTAATTTGTGATTTTTTAAGCCCAAAAAATAAAATATTAGTTGGAATTTGTAAAAATTAAAAAATTAAAAATATATACAAAAAAACATTTTGTCCAAAATCGAAAAAATCAAAATCACATCGAAATCGGTTTAAATCGAATTGATTGTTTCTTAAATTTTTTTTACAAACCAAACCAAACCGCACTAGTTGAACAGTACCAATTATGGTTCCGGTGTGAGATGAAAACCGGACCGTGCTCACTCATTCACATTCTCATAATACCGTCCTTTTATTATAAGACATACACATTACGTGGATATCTCTCATAGAATGCTAATGTGGTCAAATAAATAAACACAGAGTATAGTCTCGTAACATAAGTTTTAGTCAACAAAAAGAGGTAAGGTTACTCTTTGCCTTGAGTCTAAGGATAAATGTTCATTATCCTAGAGAAGGTAGAGGATTTTTCTATCACATAGGTGCCATGTATGTTTCTTTTCTCCCATTATATGCTAGCTAACATAATGAGAGAGACAAATAGGAGGTGTAGGAACTCGTAACAAAATATTTAATCTAAGTGTGTTTGGATGAAGAAATTTAAACGTACAAAGGATTTCGTAAATGACGGAATTTAAAATGATGGAAATTAATGTTCTAGAATTTGTAAAGTTTCTTGTTTGGGTGACGGATTTAAAACAC